TTATTAGGAAACCGTTGAAGCAGGGTGGACTGAACAAACTAATGGCTGTTTTGTTATATTTTGTTTCACCAGACTTTAATTATTTTGGCATGTAATATTCAAACACGATACTCGATGTAAACAATGAATGTTGTTATATTACATGTGTGGGGATGATGATGTTATGTTTCAATTATATACTTTGTGATGATACTTCAAGGATAAAGTGACGCGCAAGCCCCCAGACGTTTCCGCAGTCTGGTTCGGGGGTGTGACAATATTTTCACTAAGGTGTAGAGAAAATAATTAAGGAACTATACACTTTGGTGTATGAATTCCTTTCTAATGAATGTCCGAGATTAAGCACAAGATACCAAATCAAATTTATTACCAACTATAGTAGTTTTAATTATATTTTATGTGGTAAAGCATAATTGTGAAATCTTTGTTGAAGGTTTCAAAAGTTTAGATACAAACCGGTAAGAACCATTTAAGGCCTTAGTGATAATATAGGATGAATTAAATCTTACTTGATACGATTTACTTTCTAATCGGTAGAAATATACTCCTTTAATCTTTTTGGGATAATACTTCAATGACTATTAATTGTATCTTGAATACAAATACCAACTAATAAGTAAATTAGAACTTTATAAGATTTAGTATGGAAAGGCTCCATCCTCATCTTACTTAATGTTTTATGGATTTGAGGCAGATGTTCGACTAAAGCTTCTAAGCCCAAAATCTACTAAATACATATTTGTATAATACTCTAAATGTGTCTTATATTATCATATTTAAACCCACCAAGAATAAGTTCTCTTATTCTTGTGAAAGCTAAGTTAGTAGAAAGCAAGCTTCTAATGAAAAAGCAAGTGAGAGGTACATGGAACTTGAAGCAGCTTAATAACCATAACCTTATGTAGTAATAGTTGGCACTAGTTTTAACAAGGATTTTTAAAATTGAATAATAGCTATTCCCAAACACAAATTGTTCGCATTAATGGTAGAAATCATATATGACTTAATAAATGTGGAATCTCTCATTGATAATCTTTTATTGATGGTTTCTGGAAAATCCATCAAATACCAAGATGCTATGTCAGATCTCGAATATGATAAATGACTTAGAGTCATGAACATAAGATGTAATCCATGTATGTGAATCAAGTATGGGCTTGATTAAAATTTATCCCTATAGCAAGGCTAGAAGGAGAAAATGATTCTTCTAGAAAGAATAAATATACATGGATAACCACACACATTTAAAGCAAGACTTGTTGTAAAAAGATTTTCTCATACTCATGTCATTAACTATGGTGCTCATCATACTCATGACAATTGACTGTGATCAAAACTTTTTCACAGGTAGCAATGATTAGATGAACAAGAATATTATTTGCTATAAAGTCATATTCTTAATATGAGATATAGTAAATAGATTTCAATAAAGACCTCTTTTCTTAATAGACATCTACTAGAAAATATCTATATAGCTTAGCCTAGAGGTTTTCTTAATCCAAGTTATCCTAACAAAATGTGTAAAGCTTGAGATCCACTTGTGGATATAAAGAAAACATCTAAATGTTATAATCCTCATTTTATGTAAAACCACAAGGTGTGTTTTTATATCAAAATGAATAAAACATGTGTTTTTACTAAGAACTAGTGGGAGCATAGTGAAATTCCTAATCTTGTATGAATAAGACATACTCAATCATTTGAAATCACATTCTGACTAAGCAAGGTCGTTTTCACCTTAACTTGGAAAGTGTTTCTAAAATGAAAGACTTAGGAAGGAGAAGATACACTCTTGGAATGTAAAATCTATAAGGGATAGATAAAATGAATGTTAAAAGTTTCATATCCTTATACATGTATTGACAATATATTGAAAGAGATCAAGACACAAAATTCTTTTGGAGAATTCTTGGCATTGTCATATGGCACCATTTTGAGCTAGCCTCAATAGTACATAGCTCATAAGTTTGAACTAGATGAAATGATTTATATTCTATTTTCTTGACAAATGAATTCATTATTTACGCCATACTATGCATAGGACATGGTATTTGATCATGTTGTAAGCATGTCATAGGATCCTAATAGAATACATGGTTAAGTCAGTGGATGACTAAGAGAGAGCATTCTAAGAGTACTTTAGAAGAACTAAGAGAATGTGTATGAGACAATCAGTTTAGAAAGGATCTTTATGGAAAGAGCTACACAAGATTTTAATTTCTAAACATATATAAATAATTATGAATTATAAATGAATTTTGACTTCATTATGGAATGAAGAGTAAGTTTTGTTGGAATGAGGTCCAAGCAAAACATAATGACACAATCTACAACAAAAATAAGAATACACTACTTTAGAAGTTGAATTCAAATATGATTGGATGAATGGATCATTAAAAAAAACTATGTTAATCTCTGCCATTCAAGGGTCACATAGAAATCTTTGTGACTTCGAGGGTATACTTAATCAAGCTACGATGTTCTATGTCACGAAAGAACACCAATCATATTCTCCTGGATATTTAACTATACTTAGAGTAAAGTTAAGTATGGAGATGATAGTATTCACAGAATTCACACAAATTAAATTTTGTCAGATTCATTGATAAAGTTATTCTTTTGAGCTAAGTATGAATGGTCACACTTCAGCTATAAGACCTTATTATTCTAGAAATGGGTTTTTTATTTGGATTTAGTATTTGGATATTGGAACATTATAACAACAACTATTATATAATGTTATGATATATTGTGATATAGTCATCACATTAATACTTGGTGCGTTCTATATTAACATGTTTAATCCATGAATAATGTTATTATTCTAAAAGTTCATAGTCGGTTATAATTATGGGAGCAATTATAAATGAAGACTAATATGAATTGGATTGGTTGACTCTCACGAGATGAAAGTAGGCAAAAGGTTGTAACTAAGGTTCATAGGTACTTGTCAGAGAACTAGTATTGAACTGACCCGCATCAAGATCATCTCATGGATTGCTATTGTGAACGATACTTAATTAAAATGTACTATCTTTGTATCCTTAACACCTGAGATACGTAGTGGGACTTAAGTGTAGGGAGTATTATGCTTGATATGGTCAAATGTTGTTCCTTAACCGGTCGGTTATAAAATCCATTTTCAGGTATGGTTTGAACTATGCAAGAGGCTTATGTAGTCAAGATGGGATTTGTTCCTCTTATTTGTTGAGAGTTAGACATCTAAGGTGCCTTACCAAAAGTTGAACAACTAATGAGATTGATTGCGATCTGTATCTCATGTTCAACATGATGTCTGTAGCAAAGGGATAAATGATAAACTTACCTTATACATGAATTGTAGCTTTGAGCTTTTTGGGAATTGGGCGTTGATATAATGGCACAATTTCGTATGTTGATGGGGGAGTGAAATGTTGCTAGACGTTCACCACTGTCTATATCAGTCTAATATCAGTCTTGCGCAAGTGGGAGCTTAAAATTTCTAGTATGCTCAAAAGTCATATTAAAGTGATATTGCTACTTAACATATGATACTAATGGGTCACACTAACAGCAACTTGATACAATTAATTATTTATTAGAAATTGATTTTAATAAATATTCAATAAAACTCTTATAATTAAATTGGAAATTATTTATTTCATGAAAAATAATAATTTTCATTAGCAGTTAATATTACATAATTCATATGGTATGAATTAATAAGTCATGCACAACTTTTTGGACTAGTTGAAACCCTTTTGTCTTTTACTCAAAAGACAAAGTTTATATTTTATAAACCTTGAGTTTATAAAATTTAAACTAACTTTCCTTTTTTTATATAATTTTCGAAATTGATGAAAAGAAAGAAAGGTGTGGGCTTTCCATTAGTTTATTCAAAAGAAATGAAGAATGGGAGACATGTTTATGACATGGGGACATATGTGCTTAAAGTGTTAAGACCTAACGGTTAATACTTTCACTTTATGCATATAAATAAGGAGCTTGCATTTGGCTAGTTGGCTCATTCTCTTCCTTGATGAAAAGGATGAAACTTGTTCGTTCTCCCTCATTCTCTCTAGTTTTGGTTAGAAAACTTGAAGAACATTTGCATCTTCATGCCCTATTTAAGTTCATATTGGTTATAAACTTAAAGCTTAAGGGTTTAAGAGTTTTGGACTAGCATCTACATCAAGTTGAGTCATTGTTGGTGTCTCAAAGGTTCCACATTCTTCATCAACTTCCAAGCCTCCCAAGAGGACCCAAAGAACTACAAAGGTTGTTATTTCTTCACCTCTTCTTTGGTTGGTATTTTAATCTTTCTATAACTTGCAAGAAGATCCTTGGTGGGTATCAAATGTTTATGTTATTTCAAAAATTAAAGTCTTCCATTGCAATATTTTTCTAGTTTATGAAACTGTTTTTGAACTAAAACCCAACATTCACATCCTCCGCAATAATGTTAAAATAACAAAATATAATCATATGGATTCATGAAAGGCAAATAAGCCAAAGTAAATTCAAGAAGCACATGTTTCGAACCCCGATATCCTTTGAAGTGAATGTTCGGAAAATCTTCAGTTTCCATAGGTTATCTGACTTTCAAATCTATGATCCTCTTTACACTCCAGTACTCATACTGAGGCTTCCCATACTTGAGATAAAAATTTAAGAGTTTTATGTTGATCGTGTTGTTGGAGATTGGGGACTTTTCAATCTTCTAGAAACATCGGAAAAGAAACGCTCGTGGGGTGATGGGGAAGTGTAAATGGAATTAAACCTCATTGTTGGTGTCAAATGACGTGTTCAGTTCTAGCTAGTATAACTCCAGAAGATCAATGGCTTCCTTATGAATTCGTTGTAAAGTCTAAGCAGGAAACAAGGACTTCTGACTTTCAAAAATAAAAAGCCGAATTTTTAACTTCAGCATCTTCTGCGTCTAGCTTCTGTCGGAGAGCATTGAGCTCATCAAGCTCTTTATCCCGTTTATTTCTTTCAACCTTTTCCGCTTCAATCATATTTTATTCATCCTCTTCTTCAGAAATGGTTTTGCCTTTATCTTTCCTTGATCCAGAAGCTTCATTACTCTGCTGATCAAAATCTTCTTTCACATTAACCTCCTCGTCTCCCCCTTGTTTCGAAGAAACACCGCTTCCCAAAACACCGTGGATTTGATTCAGCAGAGAGAACACATGCTTAAGTTTTTCAGAGAGAGCAAGGCATACTGTATCATTGAATGGAGGAGATCTGGTCTCACCGATTCTCAACAGTCGTTGATGAGTTGCAGAATTGCGAGATTTGATGTAGAGCTTCTCTTCTTGTAGCCTAGCGACATCAGATTTAGGATTCTTCAATTTTTCATGCAAAACCTTTGCCTTCTGAGTTTGCTCCGCTAAGGCATCCATTGTCTTATTTTCAGCTGCCAAGTCAGTCTGTAATTTATCAAGCGGGTGGTGATGGTTGAGTTCAGATCGACATTGTTAAGCTTTATGTCGACACAAATTTTTGAAAGAGCTTCTTTCTCATCTTTCAAAGAAGAACTAAACCCTTTAATGACCTTGTTCATTTCTCCTGTGTTCTTGTCTGAAGAGATCCTGAAGTCGGCCATGAATTCCTTGAATTCTATTTGTAATACCAAAACCTTTTCTACAGGTTCGGTTATCTTCTTGCCTGAGGCTTGGGCAGCCTTGGTGGATTCTTCAATGACTTTGGTATTTCCAGATGTGAGCGTTTCCACAGTTGCTCGATGAGTAGTCAGAAGATTTTTCCACTTTGAAGAAGAGAAGACTTGGGAATGATCTAAGATTGAGTCAAGCTTTTCTTTTTACTTTTTGAACTATCCTTTTGTCATGAGAGCTTCGTCTTCATCACTTTTGATGTTAAGATTGAAGGGCTGAAAAACGAAGTCCTCAATGGGCACTTGTTCGTCTCCGAACAATATATATTCATCCTCGTTGAAAGGAGGAGCAGTTGATGTGCCTGGTTCGGAAGTCACACCGATATTAGCATTTTCCCCCACATCATATGTGTTGACAGGGATGCCTGAAGTTTGTATCTCCTCCGAAACGAATATGAATACAGGGACTTCCGGTGGAGTTGAGACATATGAGATTGTGGGTATCGTGGAGTCTAAAAAGATTGGTGAAGAAAGAGGAATGGAAACCTGAGGAAGTGAAGTCTCAATAGAGCTTGTTTGTGGGAGTGGAGGGATCGATGAGATCGAAATTGTGGAGGTGATTGGTGAGGTTGTAATTGGTAAGGTTGGTGGAGTAATAGGTGGTGGTGGTGGAGTAGTAGTGAGGTTCAGAAATGGTTCTCGTAGAATAGTGTCAAAAATATCAAAAGTAGGAATGTAGGAAGACGGTGGAGAAGATACCTTCAGAATATTTTATATAGGGACGGGTTCGGAAGTGGCAGTTGTATCTACCTCTTCATTGTGTCATCCTACTGAACTTCAGTGACGATTCTCTCTTCGGATTCCTCTTGAATAATCGGAGATGGAGATCTCAGTTTCTGAACTGGTTTCTTTGTTTTCTTGGGAACTCTAACACTTTCCAAAGGAGCAACCTCTGCCTTCCTTTTACCACCACGTTTTGGTTTGTTGCCATCATCAATCAACTTCCTTAGTTCAGTAGGCATCGATCGAACACAAGAAGAGGGTAACTTCCGATAATCCTTCACAATGGCGTTGTCAAGTGGAACCCTTTCCGGCATTTCGTCCGGAATTGAACCAATAAAATCAAATTTTCTGGGATTTGAAATCACAAATGTAGACGTTTGGAGTGTCAGAATCTTTTCCATTAGGGAATCTTGCATCAGAGGGACTTTGAAATGACCTAGGGCCCGATTGACCACTATCGACCAGAACCGAGCACACAAAATTTCTGTGTGGCGAGTGGAGGAACTGGAGCTTTGAACGATTTGAGCCCAAATAACAGACCCATAGTCAAGATTGCCGCCATTATATAATCCATAAATTAGTGTGTAGAACAACTTTCTTGCACTATTAGAACCAGAAACTCGTTCTGACAAACTTTTGAAAAATAACGTGAATAACCCATTCCACATTGGAGGAAGGAAGGGTTTCATGAACTTGGTTAGCAGTGAGATGTCGCCATTGTAGCCCATTTGGTGGAACATCTCAATTAGGGAGGTAGTTGGAATTGACTCAGGATCGACATTGACTTCAGACAAGGTAAGCCCTAGAAGTTTGCACAAATTGGGCTTTGTGATCGAGCTCTTGTGATTCGAAACTTTAAAGTTAATTACATCTTCAGTTTTGTTGTAGATAGCAGTGTAGAAGGATTTGGAGAGATGAACTAGAGGAACTGCTTCAACCATTTTTAACGCCTTCATCAGTGGCGAGAACTTGAGACACTCAATCATGGGCCTGATCTGGGAATTGTAGCAGGAGGCATCGAGATCAGTGATCAGGTTTTGGTTAGGTTTGACTGCCAACATAATCACTGATGCAGATTGATCAGCAAATGAAACTTAGTCAGAGGAACCATCCACAGATTTTAGTGCAAGAGTCTGCCAAAGAGAAAGAAATAAAGAAAATATAATATGTGGGATTCTGTGATATCAAACAATTTTGATATGAAAAGCTTATGGATCCCGCGCAACGATCTCTTCCTTTTGAGTCAATAGAGACTCCAAAGTGCGTGTGTGGTTTCTTGTTGAATTATGATCATCATTTTATTGAGACACTGTGAAAGGCTTCTTTTATAAGGCTAAATGGGTGGTTTCAGCTTCAGCCAGATTCCGAAACTTTACATAAGTCCGAAAATCTAAAAGAAGTACTTGTTTGACCAGTGTAGCCATAAAAACAAGTAAGCTTGGGGTATTCTTTTAAAGTCGCTGGTTATTTTGAAAAATCTTTAATCCGAAATCTCAAAAAAAAATCTGGATCTAGTTGGAAAGAAATGTCTTAGGTCGAGAACATTTCATTAAGATCACTAAAAAAATGAGATTTTAAACACTCAAAGGTACAAACCAAAACGTTTTATCCATCAATTCATTGGGTAAATACTTAGAACAACAAAGTGTTCATCATCAATTCAAAAAAAGAATTTGGATTTTTGGGTTTCACTCGAAATCATGGTGATAATGATTTTAAGATCATAAACACAAATGTTTTATAACCTAAACCTCACTGGTAAAACCTGAGAGTCTTAAGGGTTATGATACAAAATAATAGATTGGTAGAGGAATGGTTGGGAGTTTCACGAAAATTATGTTGACAATAATTTGACGATCATTAAGTAGAGTTTTGAAGCCCTATACCGAAACTGGTTTTGTTCCAATAATCAAGGAAACTACATGAAAGTTGTGATGAGATATGGTGGAAAGAAGTGATTAAGTCGGTCGTCAATTCCTTATTGCAGACTTAAATTCAACAATGAATTTTGATTTTTTTTTTGGAAAAGAAAATATTTTTGATGTTTTTATTTTTCAGAACACTAAAAAGAAGAAAATATTTTTGAATTTTTGAAAAGAAAAATACAAAAACAAATAAAATTTTTTGAAATTTTGATTTTCTGAAAATAATGAAAATAAATAGTAACTTCAAAAAGAAAACAAAGAAGTAGACAAAGTAAGGAAAATAACAAAAGACTTAAAAAGATAAAAGGTTCTAGAATCCTAATGTACAGTAACTTCAGAACCATTCCGAAGATCGAGTAAGTCGGAAGTGAACAATGAATTCTGATCCATTCCGAAGCTAGGAACCATTTATAATATGAACAATAACTTCCAAAGTCTGACGAATACGAAGTGGATTTCGAAACTGATCCGACTTCAATCATTCCCAATCCTTGTAGATTCCGATTAATTGATGCTTTAGGTAAGGCCTTTGTGAAGATATCAGCTAACTGATATGAGGATCTAACAAAATAAACTTCTACATTTCCATCCTCCACATGATCCTTTATGAAGTGGTATCTCAATGTTGTATGCTTTGTCTTGGAGTGTTTCAATGGATTGTGGAAAATTCTTATGGTACTTTCGAAATCACAATATATAGGAATTCACTTCATATTGATTACTGTTGAAGATATTAGTGTTGCGTCATTGGGCCTATTTTGTCTAGTCCATTTTGTATAAACGAGTTGGGCATGTCCACTCGTATTTAATGTTAGGGTTATAGTATATAAGGTGCATGCATGCTACGTATTTAAAAAAGGTTTTGATATTATCTTTGTAACCCTAATTTACGCCTCTATAGAAGCAATTCTTCATCGAGTTCTTCTGAGGCGTGACTATTAATCATTCAGCACCAGTTTGATCATATTGTGTTCTTTACCTGTTTTAATCTACTCGATCAATAAGGATTTATTCCTATCAATTGGTATCAGAGCAGGAGACTGTGTTCTTAATACACATCTCTTCTGTTTGAAGAAATTATTAGGGTTTCCGCAAATATTGGATCTGATAAGAGCCGTCACTAATTTATTGACGTTATTCTGTGATCTCAATATTAACCTAATAAGTGTTTACAGTCTGATTAATTGCAGGTATTAAAAGATCATTCACCATGCAGAACGAAGACTCAAATATCAACTCCTTGAATATCTCAAGCAGCATCGGATCAACCACCAGGATTCCAATTCTCTTTCCTCAAGAATATGAATTTTGGGTGATGCACTTTGAAGATTATGTTTTGGGTTCAGAAGATAATGGTTATCTGATCTGGGAAGCAATCACTCTAGGTCCGTTTGTTCACACAGCGACCAAAAGAACCATCAAAACCCAGAGAGAATACAACCAACTGCTTCTTGATGTGAAGGAAGTGCCTCAAGATGAAAAAGACAAACTCATGAGCAACATTAAAGGAATGAAGATCATCAGATTCACATTGCAAGCATATACTTTTCTTCTTGTAAGTTCGTATGACCCAACGAAGGATATATGGGATAGGTTGAGAGAACTCTATTCTACAGACACAGATCTAGAACACTCAACTCAAACTCTCTTGTTGTCTGAGTTTGGCGAATTCCTCCAAAATCCTGAAGAAACTATGAGTGCTACTTTTAATCGATATAATCATATTCTTAGCAAAATGATGAAGCACGGGATTGGACGTGAACTGATTGAGCAAAAGGTCACGTTCATGAACGGACCTCGATCAGAATGGAAAGCTGTGGTGTCAGCTGTTAAGGCACACGAACAGTTCAAGAACTATACTCTTGCGAAGCTTGTGGGAATTCTAAAGGCGCGAGAGAGTGAGATAATGAAAGAAGCAAAGGTGATGTCTGGGATGGGGTCTCTAGCCTTAGTTGCAAAAGGCAAGATTGTTGCTGATGACGGATCTGATTCAGATCATTCTGAGTACGAGCTCTCAAACGAACACTTTGCTTTAATGGTATCCAACCCTAAGCGATTTGCTAGGAAGAAGTTTCCCTCA